CCTCACACTGGTCCCGGACCTTCCTCAGTGTCCTTTTCTATAGTTTTCACATGCATTTTTTTAGAACCTAAAAAAAACCCCACACACAACCGGTTTCTAGACTAAAGAGACCCACCTACACTGAGTTTGCCACCATCATGTCACATTAACAACCAAGCAGGTTGTCTATGAATGCAGAAGCATGCTGCTATTAAAAGCACAGAAGCCTCGGTTCACCTCAAACCCTGAGCTGAATGCAAAATTTCCCGAATGCAGGTCGGGCTCCACGAAACCTCTCTGAGGACGCGTGAGCTGAACTGGTTTCCATGTAGATGGCTAATTACTCTCAACCCAATCCAGCCCCAATGAGATCCCATTATCTGCCCAGCACACTTCAAAGGGGCTCGGAAAAGAGTGGGAAAATTGACAGGCATGCTGTGAATCAATGGCCATTTATCTGCTCTTTTTGACCTCTATCAATGCTTCTAGTCAGAACAACTATTTTTATTTCCTACGTTTCCTTTGGTTATTTGTAAAATGTTTGGAAATTTTGTGCTACCGTTTCCTCTTAATCACAGATGCACAGGCCTGACTTTTGACCAAATAATGCTGTGTAAGAACTAGTTTTCAGATTGCTCTAAATGCCAATTCATAAAATCATCAAGTTTGTCCCGGTTTACACTGAAAGCATGACAAAATGTTTACTGTATGCATAAAACACCCTGACAGAACCTCTTCCCCATCGACTGCTGTCTGAAGATGAGGAATGTTCTCTAAATAAGATATTTTACTCTGTGGGCTCAGAGATCTCCTTAGACAACGTTTGAAATGAGTCCCAATTATATCTGCTTTTGATCCAAACAGCCAGAGGAAAACAAAACTCTTGCAACTGCATAAATACATTCAGATTGAACTGCACGCAGAAATGTCTGATTAGATTCCTGATTTGATTTAGACTGTTTTGTGCCAATTTACATGGTCATGTGATCTAAATAGGTTTAAACGTATGGTTAAGAAATATAAAAAACGTAAAAAGGAATAGCTCACTCAAAAATAAACATTCGGTCGTGCCAATATATATTCACCATCAGGTTGAATGTCACATGAAATATAGATATGTGATAAACTACTTTTGTTTGTTTGTTTTTTGTTTTTGCTTTTGAGCTTGACACGCAAGGTCACTATAAAAATATAGATAAAATTAAATATTAAATATATTGGGGGTGAGTGAATTATGACAGAATTCAGAAATGTTTGGTTGAACTATTCATATAAATATAAAATACAAAAATTATTGAATATATCGATATAAAAAAGAAAGAACCAGATTAATAATAATAAATGGATACAAGCTCAATTTGCTAGCTCATCTAAAATACTAGCATTTCCCTTGTCAATACATCACATTCCATTACAAAGTGTATAAAAGCCTAATGTTATATGGGCCTTGAATAAGCCTTAAACAATCAAAGTCAGGAGTGTTAGCATGCACTGCTACTGTAGCTTCTCCCTCAAAATAGTTTAACAAAGGATGAACATCATGCTCCCAGCGCAGTCAATTCCCAGCAGGGGAAGAGTGCCATCTTTGGGTAATGATAGAGTGAATCTGCCTTACCACACTCTGCCTTAATGCTATTCCAGTTGAAAAACTATAAATAAGACACTAAAACTTTGTGGTGTTTTGAAAACACTACTCTGTTTGTTTGAGAATTCTGCCCAGCCTGTCTTAGCAACAGTGGCTCAGCCAATGACGTGAGTTTGGGGGCAGAGCCATTGGTTTGTTTGACCAATGACAGACAGAGGCAGTGCTCTAAAAACCTTCTTGAGAACAGTCATTATTTTTGCTTCATTCAGCACTGCTAGTGGCACAAAATGACATAAAAAGGTAAGATGCTTTAAATTGAATGATTTAGTAACTGATAATGAATTGTTTGAATGTTTTTACTTCATTAATTCATGTTAAACTCTGATCAGGATACAGGCCAACAGAGTAATGGTTTAAATGTGATAAACATCCTGTGGCGGCATTATAATCATACATAAGTCCCTCAGTTTCACAGTATCAAAATCTAATTTGAACAGCTTACGGCGCTGAGCCCATCTACTGGTCTATCAAACATACAAAGCCAAAGAACACAGCAGGGTGAGTGTTTGATCGAGAAGTTGGACGAAATAAATACTTTCTTTCCCCCTGGTGCTTCAAAATACAGACCATACATAAAAGTGAAGAGAAGTTACCTAACTAGAGTTTAGATGATAGCCTCCGCAGGACCTGTGTCAAAAGGCCCTTGGTGTTGAGCACCACATTAAAGTATATCAGACGATTGCGTCCATACCAACTACTCGCGATGACAGTAGTGGGCTCATTATCCCGAGGAGGATTCCTCTTGAGTTAGTGTACTCAAAGCAGCTGGGTTTAAGGTCAAGGAGATCTGTGGCAGATTAGAGAGGGACCAGAATGGTCCAATTAGCAATTTTGAGTGCTACAAATGTCTTTATCTGGATGGAGAACATCTAAGTGGCAATTTTCTGAATGAATGTGCTATTTTTCACCAAGGATTTGAAAACCTGAGTGAATGTGAGGACTCAGTATGACACCCGTGAAACAGCAGAGGTCTGCAGGCTCAACCGTTTGACATAACAACAAAAACATCATATCTGTCAAATTTTCAACTAATAGACCGTCTTTTCAGAAATTTTAGACCATTTCATAGGATTTCGCCAGAGCTGAGATGCCAAAATTAAGATTTATGCTAGTATTGCATCAATTTCAGTCGACACAATAAGTCAATAAATATTTTGATGTTGCAGCAGATAACCAATAAGAGGCCTACAATCATTTTTTAAATAGAAAAAAAGGTGTGTAAATCAGCAATTTTATATGTTATATAAATTTAGGCATCACAACATTATAACTGAAAGTATGTTAAACAGGTTTTTATTTTGAGAAGACTGAAGATTATAGTCAACATTTGTATTAAATTATTAATAAAGTGAAATATACATATAAATATACAATATTATATTGTGCTATATGAGCAATAGATAAATTAATTTTGAGATTTGGTAAACATTACATTTAAATTATTAGCATCATTAAAGGTGAAGATTAAAAAAGATTAGAATTACATGTAAAGATCAAAATAATTTAAAGATTCAAATTAGATTACAAAATCCCTAATTAATCAATAATCAACAAATGCTTAAACATGCACCAATATTAAAATTCAAGCCAATTTTGATAAGCCGATAATAATTATTGTCATGGCCAATAACCGTTAAATGACCTATTTTAAAAATATAAGCTATTTTATTTAAATAAATTTAAACTAAAAGCAGTCATTTTAAATGCTACAAGTGACTTTTGGCATCACATCATGTACAGTATGATAAATGGATATGTATTTTGAGACTGGCTAAACATTACATTTACCAATGCTATTAAATTAGTAGTGTTTTTAAAGATGTCTAGACTTAAAGACTTTAAGTGATATTAGAAGATGGCCACATCATTGATACCAATAAATTCAAAAGATCTCTAATATTGCCTGTTAACCGATATATTGTGCATCCCTAACTGTATAGCATCCCTACTTTGCACCACACCACAACTACACACAATACAATAAAACGCAAAAAAAGTGTTTTTTCAGTCACTTGGTTTCTACAGTGTTGTGGCTCTGCCCACAGCGAAAGGTCATGTAGCATGAAATACGACTTAAATGCGGCTACTCACAGAACTGACACAATGTCCCCTCGGTGTGATGTCTTTATCTGGATGGAGAACATCTAAGTGGCAATTTTCTGAATGAATGTGCTATTTTTCACCAAGGATTTGAAAACCTGAGTGAATGTGAGGACTCGGTATGACACCCGTGAAACAGCAGAGGTCTGCAGGCTCAACCGTTTGACATAACAACAAAAACATCATATCTGTCAAAATTTCAACTAATAGACCGTCTTTTCAGAAATTTTAGACCATTTCATAGGATTTCGCCAGAGCTGAGATGCCAAAATTAAGATTTATGCTAGTATTGCATCAATTTCAGTCGACACAAGAAGTCAATAAATATTTTGATGTTGCAGCAGATAACCAATAAGAGGCCTACGATAATTTTTTTAAATAGAAAAAAAGGTGTGTAAATCAGTAATTTTATATGTTATATAAATTTAGGCATCACAACATTATAACTGAAAGTATGTTAAACAGGTTTTTATTTTGAGAAGACTGAAGATTATAGTCAACATTTGTATTAAATTATTAATAACAAAGTGAAATATACATATAAATATACAATATTATATTGTGCTATATGAGCAATAGATAAATTAATTTTGAGATTTGGTCAACATTAAATTTAAATTATTAGCATCATTAAAGGTGAAGATTAAAAAAGATTAGAATTACATGTAAAGATCGAAATAATTTAAAGATTCAAATTAAATTACAAAATCCCTAATTAATCAATAATCAACATATGTTTAAACATGCACCAATATTAAAATTCAAGCCAATTTTGATAAGCCGATAATAATTATTGTCATGGCCAATAACCATTAAATGACCTATTTTAAAAATATAAGCTATTTTATTTAAATAAATTTAAACTAAAAGCAGTCATTTTAAATGCTACAAGTGACTTTTGGCATCACAATGTGATCATGTACAGTATGATAAATGGATATGTATTTTGAGACTTGCTAAACATTACATTTACCAATGCTATTAAATTAGTAGTGTTTTTAAAGATGTCTAGACTTAAAGACTTTAAGTGATATTAGAAGATGGCCACATCATTGATACCAATAAATTCAAAAGATCTCTAATATTGCCTGTTAACCGATATATTGTGCATCCCTAACTGTATAGCATCCCTACTTTGCACCACACCACAACTACACACAATACAATAAAACGCAAAAAAAGTGTTTTTTCAGTCACTTGGTTTCTACAGTGTTGTGGCTCTGCCCACAGCGAAAGGTCATGTAGCATGAAATACGACTTAAATGCGGCTACTCACAGAACTGACACAATGTCCCCTCGGTGTACTTGGTAGTTCCTCACACTCCAGCGGTTGAGCAGCACAACATCAGGTGACGACTCTCCATCTGGGTTTAAGGACGGCTGGGAAAGATTCAAACCACATGAGTCAACATGCTTCATGAATTCTAGACTCTGGAAAAGTTAGAGAAGACTTTTAGGTTTTGTCAGTTTTTCTTTTTGGCCTGTGATTTATTGCTTTAATCCTCCATACCACAAAAACTTCCCAAACTACTAAGCCAACTCTAAGAATAAACTCAGCAACTTTGCTTTAATTTTGATCTGGAAAAGAGCCTCTGTTCTTCATTCAGCCTTTCGACTGACGACATCCTAAGGGTAACTCAAACCTGCATCACCCATATGAGCACCATGGCTTAACATGCCTAAAATGTGTGCGAACCACTGCGCCACAGCTCCAACTTCTTTTTTGAAGAAAAATGCATATCTTTGATAACTTTCAGCAAAACTAGACTAAACCAGATTATTCAAAACAACATTACCAAGTTTGATAACGCGTATAAAGGACATCCCACCTGCATTGAGGCACCTTCCACGCGTGCCACATAGGCAAGACGGTCTAAAACAGTCACTGTCACAGGGACGGCTACAAAGAAGCCACTAACAAAAGCTTTGAAGTACCTTCGCCCAAAGCCCGTCTGCGCCATCGCCTGAAGAGAGAGAGAATGAAAAGAGAAATGACCATGGCTTGTTCAAAGAGTTCAGCCAGGCAATTTAAACATCTTTTTCTTTTCTGGTAACATCTTATGAAGAAATAATTCAAACATTCAACAAAATATGGATGTCTTTGTTGTTTAAGTATTGAGAAGTATTCTCTCCACAGAAAAAAAGGCATGTTTTAAGGATATGTTGAATGATCTAAGCTCACAAAGAGAACTAAAGTATCAAAAGCTTAACTATATGCCTCTAAGTATGAACCACCTTGTTTGGAATCAAATTGCAAGGCACTAGTGAGGTCAAAAAGAAGAAAACACTCATAAAGCAGCCAATTTAATAATGAATTTAGTAATTGCACCTATCTGAGGCCATCTGTAGACCGTATTCGCAATGACAAAACTCTGTACACCCAACGCATTAGGGCAGAAAAACCCACTGAGGCATTGAAATTGAATCTGACAAGAGCACGCTCGCTCTAATACCATTAATTGCTAGTGTGATGCTTGATTTGGAGGTACACGGCGTGCAATTATGCTTCTCATTCATTTTACAGAGTTCACCACAGTAACAAAAAGACGAGGAACAGCGTGTACCATTTTCCCCAAAAAGCCCTCAAGGTCTCCAGTAGCAACCTTGCAGAATTACTGGTAAGCACTTGAAGAAAGTCTTGAAGCCTTTTGCTCGCAGGAGGCCATTCAAGAGGCTCAAAAATCAGAGACTACAACAACTTAGTTGAGGATCTAGGAGACGTCGGGTAAAAAAAAAAAAAGTGCTGAGCGAATCATAACGCAGTGCAGGATTTGTCAGGGTTGCACTGCTGTGAGCCAGATACGGCTCAAGCAGGGGAAATTACAAAAAAATTTGTGGTCGCAAAGAGACACCTTCCTGACTCTCTGCTGCATATGTAGGCTACCCGAAGCAACACTATCAATATAATACAAACACTGATTATTTCAATTTTGCACGAAACAGCATTTGCAAAGCACTTTACTTCTGTAATGAGACATAATCCCAAGTGAAAAGTGAGCAAGAGTAAAAAATAATTGCGTGATGAAGCATAAAAGAATCACGTTGTGAGATATAGTCACAATTACGGGAAGTAAAATCGTAATTATAAAAAAGTTAATCAAAATTACAACATTTCTAGTCTATCGACACCTGTGGTTGAAACATAAAATTGCATGATACTTGAGGAGGATGTGTTTGACTAGCTATACAAAGATCACTTATAATAAATAATAAAAAGTCCTACAAGATGTGACTAAGCCATCATATATATATATATATATATATATATTCCCCTAAAAAAATGCAGTTTTGAGCACTGACTGTTTATGTACAGACTCAATTATACATTTCTAAAGCAAAATTTATTAATCTTGTCAATATTATAAAAATGCCCAAAACTGCTTAAATATTTTTATTGATAACGAATAAATGAATTATTATTATATGAAAAATAATATTCGATAGCTTTTGACATATAGAATACTGTTCAAAAGTTTGGAGTCTATAAGAATTTTTAAAGTTCTTGAAAGATTTATTTGATTAACAAATACAGTAAAACTGTAATATTATGAAAATTTTAAAATAACTGTTTTCTTTTTGGAAATTTTCAGCATCATTACTTCAGTCTTCAGTATCAAATGATCCTTCAGAAATCATTCTAATATGCTGGTTTGCTGCTGCTCATGAAACATGTATTATTATTAACACTGTTGAAAACAGTTTATAAATTTTATGCTACTTTATATTTTTGTAAAAACTTTTTTAAAGGTGTCTCTAATAAATAGAAAGGAAATCTGTTGTAACAATAAATTACATAAAAAAAATAAAAACAATAAATGTAACAAAAAAGTCTTTACTGTCACTTTTGATAAATTTGTAAAGACACTTTTTCAAATGTGTTCCTGCTGAATAAGTATTATTTTCCTTCAAATAAACTTTTGAATGGTGCTGTATATATAAATGTCAAAGGTTATTGAATTTCAATTAATCACAATTTTCTTTTTTTCTCTGGAAGACCTTGCAAGTGCTGAATCAAACACAATAAGAACAGAAACATCTATAAAGAAAGCAAACAGGGTACATTTTGATTTCAAGTCATCTTCATCTAGCAGATTCATCTCTCATGTGTCTTACCCAGGTTCTCAAACTTCTTGTAGTGTTAAGTATTCATTCGCTTAGCTGCGTCTCACACAAGAGTGTGACTAATGAACTATTATGACAACGAGCGGCTAAATTATCCATGGTGTTCTGGGCAGACCTGCCAAGTGCCAGCTGTCAGGTTCCTCTAACAAGAATCCCTCACCAGCACATACAATGAGAGACTGCCAATCATGCTGGTGCCACACAACACACAACAGCCTTTTTTCCCAAAGACATCTATTTTTGCTTGTCCATCCACTGAGCCACAATCCTATATTTTGACTTCAGGCTACACACGGAGAAGTTGGCACATGCCACGAGGATCTCTAAGGTGTGTAAAGTGGAGCATCTAATAGTTTATTCTTAAAAACGGGCAGATGGGAGAATCTAGGACTGGTGCGCGTTGATCAAAAGAAAGCGTCGAGTTCATTTTTCATCAAAGGCTGCTTTCAGCTTCTGAGTCGAGAACATTTTCCACCATTTTCCATGTGCTACGGACAGAAATAAAACTGTGAGCGATAAAAACCAAGGTTGGCACAGCAGGTGTGCAACATAGATGGATTTTTTTGTAGCCGCGTCCAATTAAAGATGCGTTTCTAGAGTTGAAAGCAAATGTCTGGGTAATATTAGGTGACCATTGCACACAGCTGCGGAATGGAGCATGGTGGTCTCATGCCAGCAGAATCGATTTATCATATGCTTCGCGTTTATAACCCATTTATCCTGCGAGTAATACTGTCAAATATGCCACCTGCATAATGTAAAACTGTAGCCTGGTAGCTTTGTTTATGCATACCTGAGCGTAACCATTTTAATTGCACCAGTCATCAAATGTGTCCAAAAATGCTTAGTGAACTCGCTGCTTTGGGGTAATTTGAAACCGCAATGACAGATTTCCACTCTCGACAAGGCAATTTTCGGTTTCCTTGATGCATGGGCCTATTTTAACAGTGCATTTCACAACACGGCGCTGACAGACCCAATCTGATTAAATGATCTCAATGTGTGCACCTGCAAGTATGATTTCAGGAATGCTTGACCGTTAGTCTGCATCACAGCAGCGGTGAGATTAATGATGTGCTGCAGACAGCTGTAGACGAGCAGACAAAAAAGAACGAGGCTGGCTCACGATATCCTATGGTAAAACTTTTTAAAACTGTTTATATGCAAAAATCAAAGGTTACATACAGGCTACACACTATTACTTTTCAATTAATATACATTTTAGCTATTTCATATTTAAAATTAGATCTTTTGTACATATTTTTAATTAAAAATAAAAAGTAAAACTATTTTCATATAAACACCTTTTGTACAAAATCTCAGTGACAGGCTATATGGAATATCTTCCATTGTATGACAACTTTACAAGTTCAAAAAATTGAACAGAAAATGTATAATCCATTAAAATGAGGGTGAAACGAGAGATTTTTATTAATATTTTTCAATTCACTTTCAATTTGTAAAGAAATTCATATTGTGTATACAGTATGTGTGTGTGTGTGTTTGTGATTTTTTTCAAAAATATAAAATAAAATATTCTATTTAATGATTTAAATTAAATTAAATGATTTTTAAATATTTTAATTAAAAGTAAAATATAATTAAAAATAATAATTCAAATATACAACAATTTTTACAGTTTTTATTAATATTTTCATTTTGCAAAAAATGGCAATGTTACAAGTGTGTGTGTGTGTGTGTGTGTATATATATATATATATATACACACACACACACACAAACACACACACACACACACATAATCTCAATGACAGGCTATATGGAATATTTGTGTGTGTGTGTGATTTTTTTCTTTCAGAAATATCAAATATTCTATTTAATGATTTAAATTAAATGTTATTTAAAGATTTTAATAAAAATATAATAACAATTGTGTGTATATATATATATATATAGTTTTTTTATGAATATTTTCATTTAGCAAAAAATTGTATACATAGTGCAGCAGTTTATATTCTTAATATGCAGTTTATATATTTAATAATGTATAATATATGATCTGTTATATTTAATATATACTAAATCTAATATTCCTTTAATGGAAACAACCATTATAAACCTCAAAGCCAATATAAAGTGATGTTTTCATGAGTTACTGATTAGAAATTCTAAATAATCGTATTCATTAGGGCAGCTTCGCAAGGGCAACTTCGTTAATTAATTAACCTAGAAACTAAATTCAGCACTCATATGGGAGAACGGCCTCTTTTTATATCAGTGTCTTCACGTACCTTTACACATGAGATATATATATGGCAAAAATGAAATGATACTGATCTTTACTCTTTAACTGAGTGATTGTGATGGGCAGCAAACAAGCAAAGGCTGTGTCTCAAAACACAGTGAGCTGCCTACCTAGTTGGCATAAACACATTTTGAACAATCAACATTTTTGGCCATCACAGGCCGGTTTTGAATGTCAATGGCCAGTTTCTACTACTTAAAAGAAAGCGTATGTATCTGTACATGCTATTATAGCTACCTTTATCTGACCTTTCTACATTGCATGTTTAATTTAGCAAGTGCTGTTCAGTTAACCTTCCGGATATAAAAACTATTATTTCACATTTTTAATATCACTTTGTGTAAAAATGTCTTGACTTACAACTGTTTAAATTAAACGTTTAAAAAGGTTCCTGATAAACAGCTTGGACTCTGGACATGGGAGGTCGAGTAAAGTGCACTGCATGGTGGGATACAGTATTCTGTGTAGTATACTACTATTTGTACTAGTTTAGGTATTCTACGTAAATGAATTACATGTTTTGAGACACAGCCTGAGCTGTTAGACCGGCTGTACAAATAACACAGTTACTACATACGTCGTCTTTTCCCTACATCTATCTTGTTTCATTGGGTGGTGTACTAAGTTGAAAACTGCGACACTAATTCAAACTACATGAGTACATCCTCCTTTAGTTCAGCGTTTATGGCGACCACGCTGGACTGACAGGTCATGCCGCTGCTATAAACAAGGGCAAACAGTGGGCGTGTGATGAGCTTCAAAACGGTGCATACAATTATAAAACATAAGCAAAAGTGAAGCATAAACCCCTCAGCACTAATGCGGACTAAATGTCGAGTATCAGTGATATCAGACGCGTGTCCATACACTCACCTAATGTCTTTATGTACGTGCTGTACGTCGCTCCGTTCACTACGACACCACGCTCGCTGCTTCCGGGTCCTAAAGCCCTCCCTCTCTCATTCATATCATTAGCTTGAGCCGACTAGTTTACAGAATATGTATGTTTAGACTAGTATATAAATTCCATTTGACATGTAATAGTACAATAAGGATATATTTGAAAATTTAGAAAATAGGTGTATAATTATTTCAAAGTAAATAAACAAATATTCGATTTACATTACTAAACTCAAGTTTTAAATACAATAATAAAATATTCAAAATGTAAAAAATATGTATAAAATGCGTGTATATACATACATAGCCTGCATATAAAATTGAAATAATTATTCAAAATAATAAGTCTATTTTACATATTATAATTGATCATGTAATATTGAAGATTGAAAAAAATGGAATGTGAGATTTGAAAGAAATTACATTTGATTTAGAAAGTTGAAACATTTTTAGAACAGAAAAAATACTATACATTATTGCATTCATTAAAATTTGACGAAAATGAGGCTGTGAGGTAGATACGGTTGTTACATGTAATTTTCATAATGTATTTTATATGTATGAATTTTTGTCACTAGATATAGTTGAAAAGTTATATAACAATTGAAAATATATTCGTAATCATTATATTAATAATAAAATACAAATATTGATGTGAAAAACATTACAATCCCTTATAAAGACTATGAATCTATCCATGGCGCTGTTTGTAATCACAAATATAAAACAAATGGCATCTACAAAACATACTATTTTTTTATTATGTATTACTATGGTATTACGACAGTACTGTTTTTAATGTAACTATGTGGCAGATGTACATTTTTGGTCCTTTAAAGTTAAAGGGGTCCTATTATGCTTTTTCACTTTTTCAACTTTAGTTAGTCGGTAATGTTGCTGTTTGAGCATAAAAAAGATCTGCAAATTTACAAAGCTCAAAGTCCACTTCTAAAGGAGATATTTTATTTAACAGAAATCACTTTTCAAAAACTACGATGAACAACTCGTTTGGACTACAACACATATTTTCCGGGATTTGTGATATCACAAATACAGACGAATGGGACGAGACCTGGTTGAGCTGCACTAGAGAAGGCAACGAGTGTTATATCACTAAGACGGAGACATGCTAGCTTCCCCAAGGCAGACGAGCTTAGAGTGGTTACAATAATCCGGGTTTAAATCGCGCTCAAATTTATTTGATTTTGACGCTTAGAGTGGTTACACTGAAGCTCGCAGACGGCTGTGGTAAGGGGCATGACATTTCCCGACCAGGCGCCGAGTGGAGCCAATCACAACACACACTGGCCCAGCTAACCAATCACAGCACATTTCGTATTTCAGAAGGCGGGCCTTCATTTGATACAGGAACTATTCGAGCCGTTCATGCCAGACTGGGGAGAGAGGTGTTGCAATAGTGTAAACTGTGTGAAAAAGAATCTGTTTTTCGAACAACCTAATATGAGAGACTGTTCTAGTACACCTCCAAAACAAAATCAAGACTTTGTAAAAGAGCATAATAGGACCCCTTTAAATGAAAATCCCAACAATGAAGTTTCCATCAAAATACTATTTATGATAAATAGTATTTTGATGGAAACTTCATTTTTGGGATAACAACAATTTATCCATAATAAAATAATAAAATAAAATGAGAACTCTGTCAAACAGTTAAAAAAATTGTGATAAATGTTTAAACATGGTAAACGTGCTAAAAGGTTGCTTACAGTCCTTGTACTGGATCTCAAGAGACGCCATAATATACATAACATCACAGTTTACATCAATCAACCTTTATTTGTTTGATGGTTAATATTCAACATTTACAAATAAAAACTTTAGTTGCAACATTCAGAGCTATGAACTGGTTACATTTTCATATAAACACCTTTTGTACAAAATCTGTAACACAGGCTATATGGAATACTTTCATCCCATCGTATGATATAAAGTACAACTTTACACGTTCAAAAAATTGAACAGAAAGAGTATAATCCATAAAAAGGAGGGTGAAAGGAAAGAACAAGACAGGAGAAATACAGGCATGACTAGAGTTGAATTCCTACGACTTGACCATTGGCAATCAATCGAAATTACAAAACGTGACTGCCGAAAATGAGCAACTCTCATAACATGGCAATATGAGAACATAGCTGCAAAGCCGTTAATAAAATAGGTAACAAACGAATCTGTTACGGTGCCCATCTTTAAGTATTTAATTCCAACGTTAGTTCGATTCTTCACACTTCAAATATTTTAGGTTAAATAAAAATACAGCACTTTGAACTTTGTATTTATCTACAAAAATGCAATAATAGAATAAAATCACAGGGGATATTTTTTGCCAAGAACAATTTTTATCAAGTACAGACCATTTCAATTGTCTATATGTGATCAATAATGTAAACTGACAGCCGAGATTCACAAAGGCTGCTGTGTTTTAAAGTTGCATTTTAACGACTATCAAATATTTATTATCCAATATTTATTAAAAGAACTGTGGGCTTTTAAGCTGGCAGTGAAAAAGCTGTTTGTTACTCGCAATTTTACATCAATATGCAGAAAGTTTTCTTTCGTAGGAAGGGATGTAGCAACACACTCACATCAATTTTTTTATTTTACGTTTTGACAAATTGGTGGCTAATTGGTATGAATTCGTACGATTTGCTTGCGCTCAGTTATGTTCAGGCGTGGACCTTCATGCTTGCTTTTTACGAAAAAATATATATTCAGGCATGGACCTTCATGCTTACTTTTTACGAAGAACATACGATTTCATAGGATTCACATCGTATTAATTCAAACGAAATCGCCACTTTGTAATATAGTTAGGTTTTCCTGTGAGATCGGGTAGGTATTTTCTTTGAAATGAAACTTGGTAAACGTCTAAAATCAGCTGTTTTGTTGAAAACTTGACCACATTGGCTTTGTTAGCAAGAAAACTAATATTTTAATGTTGTTAGTATGTTCCATGGTAAAAAAAATAAATAAAAAAAATACACATAAAATGAGAAAATACTTTTAAAATGGAAATGCGATGTAAAAAAAATTAAACTTTTTATTTTCATTTTTTAGAAGAAAACTAATTCTGAAAGAAAAGGTAAAACAATATAAATGAACACCAATTCCACACAGCATTTCCTAAACTTTGTTTATCGTCTACAACCTAGAGTCCAAATAAGATCCCAAATTGAATTTCTGACCGTAATGTGAAAAGTTCTGACAGATTTAACATTTAAAGGAGAAAGAAAAACAGATTTGATCTAGCCAATATTTTTTGGAAGTGACTTCGGCGACACAACCTGATTTGGGATCAGGCTGCTGGGAAAAGTCATCTCAGAACTATGTTTCTATCGCTCTCTGCAAACTACAATGGTTATATTGCTTTGTACTGCTCATGCCTCATGCAGTCTTGAGCTACGCCTCTGCACACGGTTTAAGAAGCACATTGTTGAGCACTAGCGGCCACGCTAACTTCAGTTAAGCTTTCCTAACTACTCTCACTGACAAAGAAGTTAATACTGTTTGCATCTTTGGCACAATACTCGGAGACCACACAATTTCATCACATTGGCACATTTAAACGGTCAGGCAGTTTCGGTAGATACGAGGCTACATTAGAAAGAAAAAAAAAACACTAAGAAATATGTAGCACCTTTTAGCCATTCCAGAAAGTACAAAGCGGTTAAAACGGGACGCAGGTCTAGCTGTACGCCTCGGTTTGTGTAAGACCCAAAACAAAAACTGCTGTAGTGTGGAAATAAAAGCTGTACAACACTGATTTTGTACTTCTATCAAAAATACCTTGCTAGCAATATGTTTCAGAGCACTCTAAATGGGATATGGACCTGCCAGATCTTCAGATTTTGCTGTAAATTACATGCCATTTCAAAGCGTACATAATCTCTTCATGGCTTTTCTAGTATATTTCATTCCTAGCCGTAACTGCATATCAGAATGACTGCGCCAAGATGTTCATCGGTGAAGAACAATTCTGAGCTGCTCTCTAGACTGGGTCTAAAGAGCCGATCCACTAAATAGTCACTAAACCATCAAATATGCAGCTTTAAAATTAAATTGAGATGATCTACTTAATATCAACGAACAAAAAAGGAAAACATTCATCATGGGAGCATTCCGTTTCACTTTCATTTAGATTTTAGAGTACAAATTGCTAAATTAAAAATCAAAATGTATGGAGGACTGAGAGTGGCATAAATATATCTTTTGTCAATAAAAAAAGATCATGAAATTTGTGTCAATAAACATTATTTAATCAATTAAAACAATTACATTATTTTATAAATTAAATTGCCTATTTGATAAATACAATTATAAAATATTATATTTAAAATGTAAACAAATAAATCAATAAAGCATGAATGAAATGTGTCAAATAAATAAATAAATTATATTTTGCAAAAGACTTTGATGTATTAACATGTATCTATTTATTGACATCATTTATTTATTGACAGAATATTTGAAATGTGAATAAAAATGAATGAAATGTGTCTTTTAAATTATGTTTTGTATCGGACTATGATAGATTTATTAACATTTATTTATTTACTTAATTGACACCTCTTGATTTATTTATTGACACATACTTATTGAAAAATTGTTGATTTTAATTATTTATAAATAATAGTATAAATAAAGCATGAAATGTGTCAATAAATGAATAAATGACTTACATTTTTGCTTTGGACTTTGACATATTTATTTACATTTTTTATTTATTTATTGACATATTCGTACTAATTTAGTAAGATAAGTAAGATTTATTTATATGCCAATCCCTATCCTCCACAAAAAAATGCACCTCCTTGCATTTGAAAACATTGCCAATTATGATACATAACCTACAGTTATTTTACAGTAAACGGCTGCAAAAAATGCGACGTAGTCAAAGTTACCGCTGACGCGCTACAGCTGAGAGACCTTCCTGGGTGTGGGCCGGTGACGGGGCTCCGAATTAATGCGCTGCACGCGGTTCAGCTGGGGTTTGCTGGTCAGGCTGGGGTTGTCGGTACTGGGCGGCACTGAC